CAAACTTGGTTGGTCATATTTGCTGTTGTCATTCCTCTTGATGAAACTCATCCTTGCTGATTTCAGAGTCCAAATGGCATTTGGAACATTTTTGGTGGGAAGCTTGCTTGGGGACCTGAAGCAATTGTTTGTGATGATCCAAATTTTCAGGGCTGTGGAAATCCTTCAAGTGGTATTTTATTTTATTTTTCTGTTTTCCCCCCAAACTTTGATGAATTAAAGGAAGAAAATCTAGTATCATTTTTACCATTTTTGGAAGAGAGCTTACCCTCAAACTTATCTGCTGTTCATGCTGTGCATAGGGGATATATTCCATGCAGCACCCAATATTGATCATTCAAAGGACTTCGTGAGAAACGATATAAAGGAGTGGTTAAACTGGCTTCGAAACGATATTGGTTTTGATGGATGGCGCCTTGACTTCGTAAGGTGAAGGTGTTTTTATTTTTCTTTGAGTGGAACAGGGGCCAAAGGCCCAAAGCATTTTCTTATTTCTCAGTCTCTAACATATCTTTCTTTATCTTTTGTTGGCCAAATTTGTTCTTCTGTTCTGTGTGTATTCAAATTCCAAGTAGGATATTTTGTATATAAGCCTGAAGAAAAGAATGCAGATTGTGTGCGACCGTGTGGAGCTTAGTGCACTCTTGTGACTTAGGTAGTAGTTGGTTTGTTTATACAATAGTCATTCATGAGCTCTAGTGGTAGGTATTTAGTAATGAACAGACGCCCTTATATCCATTCTTTGTAACAATTCCAACTTTGCCGGTATCACACAAAATTTTATATGCTGCATGATGTAGCTACTGTATCAGCAGATTGTCCCAGAATTTGAAAATGCTTTAAATGCAGTCTATTCTAACTTCATTGTGATTTTTACTTGAATTTTTGGAGAGAAAAAAGTCAACTTAATTCTTGAACCAAAGGAAAAGAAGAAGAGCTAAAAGAGCCAAAGAGCATTATGAGCACTAAACCTAAGTTTAAATATTGACTATTCTAGGTGAACGTGCCATGTAATACTATAGGCACATGTCAATTTGATGTTTAGGCCAATTCAAAGTGAGCTAGTGTCTTCTGTTTGTACATTAATTTCATCCGAAGTTCAGATGTCTGAAAATTTGTGAATGCTCTTACACGTTCAGACTCTTTTTTTCTCTTGTAGTCCATGGTGGGCAATTAAACCTCTTTTATGTTGTTCGCAGAGGCTTCTCCGGTACCTTTGTAAAAGAATATATTGAAGCTTCGGTTCCTGCATTTGCTATTGGAGAATATTGGGACAGTTTAGCTTATGAAAATGGAAATTTGTGTTACAATCAAGGTAAGAATTTGTGGATTGTAGATTAAATTTGTAATTCTGTTTCTTGTTGTATGATTAGGCGGATGAAAGCAAACTATAGTTCCATCTTTAGGGACATTCGTTACTAATCTTTGGTCAATGGTGAAAACACCCGCAACCATTCTAAATCTGCTGAATAATTCATTTTTATTCACCAGGAAACAATAACATAGAACAGTAACAGGGAAGATAGCCACAAGAGCGTTAATCCATGGCTGTGTTTTAATCCTCTCATTGCCTCCTCCTCCACCTCTTTAAATTAGTAAAACTCCTTTGTTGCCAGAAACAATGAAATGTTTACCATTTTGCTTAGCATGGATATGAAAATGTGAACTCGTCTATTTTTCCAGATGCTCACCGGCAAAGAATTGTCAATTGGATCAATGCCACAGGTGGTACTTCCTCGGCATTTGATGTCACAACAAAGGTACCTTCTATACTGCATCTGCTACATCCTAATTTTAGTATGACTCACTTACATAAAGGTTAAGGCTAAGAGAATAGAACTGAACCGAAATGAATAGTTTATCATTCATGAAATGCACCAGAACAATGTCACTCAGACAACGTGGAAAAAGTGAAAGACAGCCTGACAATGGATATGGGTTTACTTGCCAAACCTTGACGTCCTTTTTTCCAATAAATAAAAGCAAAAAATATATCCTGATAATTTACCTAATGGTGAAACTCATGTCAAGTGGCTGCACATTTAGCCCAATACATACTTAGTATTGCATTTTTGCAGGGAATACTCCACTCTGCTCTTCATAACCAATATTGGAGGTTAATAGATCCTCAGGGTAAACCAACTGGAGTTTTGGGATGGTGGCCCTCACGTGCTGTCACATTTTTGGAGAACCATGACACTGGATCAACACAGGTCTCTCTCTCTCTCTCTCTCTCTCTTGCATGTACACACAAGCACTGAATGCAAATACCACCACTGAGGCACAAGGAGCTGGTTACTGATTTTTGAAACCTTATATCGAGCCTGGACAGTCAGGCTTTAACTGCTAGATTCCATCAGTTGAATCTTTGTTAAACAGCTTTTATCTAAGTTAAGACTTGATTTATAAACTTTCTTTCTTTTAATTTCAGGGTCACTGGCCATTCCCACGAGATAAGCTTACACAGGGATATGCATACATTTTGACTCATCCTGGAACTGTGAGTTCTCTCAATCACTCAATTGCCACCATGAATTATTTTATGAACAGCTGCTATTTGATTTTGTAATCTTTATTTTCTTATCTCTACTGCAGCCTGTCATTTTCTATGACCATTTATATGACTTTGGTCTTCATGACATCCTAACTGAGCTAATTGAGGCTCGTAGAAGGGCCGGAATCCATTGCCGGAGCGCTGTGAAGATATACCATGCAAATAATGAAGGTTATGTTGCACAGATAGGTGATACACTAGTAATGAAGCTTGGCCATTTTGATTGGAACCCCTCAAAGGAAAACCATTTGGAGGGGAGCTGGCAGACTTTTGTTGATAAAGGGTCAGATTATAAATTGTGGCTACGACAATAGTTTGATTCGAATCGATACATGTACTACGTTAACACCTTGAAATTTACCATTGTAATTTTCTGTTTTCTTTTTTTCTTTTTCTGGCACGAGGAATAAGTGCAATGGGAATGTAAAAGAACTGTTTTATAGCATTTTTTTCGTTGTAAATAAAGAAGCATGCCAGAAGAGATGGTGTGTAAATCAGTTCATTCATGCAAACATGTCCTTTTTGTTTTGGTGGGTGATTTGGGCTTTTTTTGCAAAAGCAGCAAAAAACTTAATTTAAAAGCAAAATGTCCTTTGTGTTTTGTTTGGGTATTTTTGAATGCGTGGTCTTTTTCTCTTTTGGGCTTTTTGCAAAAGCAGCAAAACTTAATTTAAAAAGCAAAAAGTTGATGTCGGTGGAGATGCAGGGGATCGAACCCTGTACCTCTCGCATGCAAAGCGAGCGCTCTACCATTTGAGCTACATCCCCGTTTTGATAATCTTTTTCAAAGTAGAATATTTATCCAATTGGCAAGTCAAAGTTTCTTCCAAAACCAAAACCAAAAGCATGTGCTCTTTCTCTATCGAATAATTTATACATCACTTACTTTTCCCAATTTCCCCATCAGTGTGTGAAAGCAACGATGACTTGAAGTCAAAGTCTCATACCAAAGACCCAAAGTCAATGCAAAATCTGCAAGCAGCTGTTAGTGGTCTCCCTCACCTTTATATATACATTAATTTCATTATATTTATTTCTTATTAATATTCTGTGCTGTAATGTCCTTGCATGACATAAATTTCATAATAAACAAATGGAGAAAAAAGAGCCAACAACAAAAAAATAACTTGAGAAATTTGTTTAGCTTAAATTAGACTACTTTTTTTAAAAAAAAAAAATTTGGAGACGATACGTGTACTCTAAACATGAAAACATGGCAATAAATGAAGAGTGGTGATTTCCCCACTCATTTTTCTCATATTTTATCCACTTACACTCTTTTTTTATAACTAAAAAAGGAGTGTAAGTGGATAAAATAGGAGTGGGGAAATCATTGCCCTAAATGAAACAACTTGGGAAACTAAACCCAAAGCCCCACCTCCATCCATCACCCACCCCTACTGCTCCTTACTATCTTTAAACACATAGTTAGTACTTAGATTGCTTTTCGTTTGGTGGTTAATTGGATTAGCTTAATCTAATGTCATGTTTGGTGTTAAAAAATGAATGTGAATAAGATAAAAGATAATGCCACTATAATTTTATTGTGTACATTTTTGTAGGATAGCATATCCTACTAACAAGGTGGAATACATAATCAAACTATTCCAACCCCTTTGACTTTGGACTTAAGACTCAAGACACACGACACAAACATGGGACACTAGTATCAATCTGACCTCTTAATTCAAACCAAACATGTAACTCAATTTATGTTTTAGTTTAAGCATAACATTTGCAACGCAAATTCTCATTTAATAAGAACACAATCTAATAAATTGTGATTGATTCATATTATAATAGAAAAGAATGAATCTGTCAATCTAATGACTATAAACGCCTCGCATCCACTTTGAATTTGCATTGCGGAAAAATTTGATGGAAACATTCTATGAACAAAAGGGATGATGATTCACTATTGGCCCTTGAAAGTTAGGTAGGATAAGTGGGCTTGGCCCAAACTTATTACAACCCTAGAGAATTGAGATGTGACCAGTCTTTCCTGCTTTAAATGTTAAAACACACTCACTTATATCCCTAATTCATTGCTTAAACTGGCGGCGGGAAAATAAACGCAAAATAAATTAAAAAAAAGGTTAAGCATATTTCCAAAACTCTCAAAAACAAAAAAGCTCCAAAGGTAGGCTTGAAAAATAAAGTGCACCACCCCACGCGTGTACAAAAGCGCGTGGTATCGGAATATCCCGTCTACTTTTTCCTCGCAAGCTGCAAGCAAAGACGCACACTTACTAGAGCGTACGTCTCCCTGCCATCTCAACCGTTGATCATCTAAATATCTTCATCGAACGGCCATCAGCAAAGAGCATACCAACTCCTGCGAAGTACATTAGTACCTCTGACTCCGTACCTTAGGTTCGGATACCCGAGGTTGAGGTTCGGGTTCCGAGCCTGAGGCGGCGTTTTCCTCTGAGACTCTCTGAGTTGGTTGGAAAACATTTTTTTTGAGCAGTGTTTGTTTGGATCGCTTTATCTTCGGCTTTGGTCCGAGAATGAATTTCGGTTTCTCACTCTTCTAGTCTTCTCTGCGCAGAAACAAACTGGTCTTGGAGAGAGAGAGAGAGAGAGAAAGAGAGAGAGAGCTCAGAGGCAAAAGCATAGTGAAAGAGAAGAGAGCCATTTGCGTCGTCGTTTTGGAGCTTAAGCAACTGTGAATTGAGCTACAAGAGAAGAACGACGCCGTAGTGTCCACGCTCTTGAAGAACCCTAATTCTCTTCGCTTGGATCACAGTGTGAGCTCCCAACTCCACCTTTTTCTTGCTCGCCTCGCTAACACCTCGTTGTGTTGCTCTAGCTTCCTTCTGGTGTAAGAATGAGCCATTAGAGTTGGAACTATTGAGGTTTTCTGTTTCTAATTTTTGTCAAATTAGCTCGGAAATGCTCAATTCTGGTGATTCTTTTGGGTTTTGGGGAGAATTGAGGTTTCAGTGCTTGTTTGGTAGAGATATGGTTGGTTTTTTTTAGGGTTTTTAAGTGTAAAATTTGAGTTTAGCTTTTGCTTTAATTTGGCTGTCTATGGCTTGATTTTTTTTTTTTTTAGTGCTTTCGGTTTAGTCTTTGAAATGTTTTTCGAAACTCCAGAGCTCACATTAGCTTAAGTTTATGATAACTTTGCAATTTTGGTTATGGTGGATATTAGCTCTTGAAGTCTCATGAGATTCATAAATTCGGTGCTGCAAAATCCAACAACGGATATTTGCTCGTGTAGCTCCTTTTCAACACACCAGAATATAGAGAAGTTTGAATCTTTTTTATTTATTTATTATACAAATATTCAGGAAAGCTTGAATCTAAAAGCTGCCATCCAAGCCCCTAATTCGATTTCAAGTTCTCTTTCTCTCCTTCAAATTACAATTAATTGAATGAGACACATACAACTAGTTGTTTGACACTTGCGTGGAATTTGGAACTTTGCTGTCGCGGGTTCCAATTAGCAGACCGATGTAGTGGTTCACCATAAATGAACCCACTTGAATATGAATTCTAATGTAAATTTATCCTTTTGGTTTCCATGTCTTTTAATTTTGGACAGTTTACTAGCGTTACTGATACATGGTTCTTTTGTTGAAATTGCCTGCCAGTACTTCTAGTCTCATTTGTCCACTGAAACTTTCTTATGCAGGATAATTTTAAGAGATGCTGCTGTGGATATTTCATGCCATTTTGGAGCACACCTCTTGTTTCAAATGTACTTATTAAGCATGTGAGAATGCCTTTAAGCAGAATTGCAGGGATGAGGCAGTCTGATGTGTAATGATCATAGCGATTTTCCACAACATCAATTAGCTGGGAAAATTTGGTGCCTGGAAATTTAATGCCAGGTAACGAAATTGAAGGCAGGATCCACAAATTATATGAGCTAGATAACTTTTCTCATCAATCTCAAGTTGCGGATGGTAATTGGCCTGTGCTTTACAATCAGTGGCATGAAAAACAAAGAGAGATCAGTGAACCTCTAAGTTTCAATCTGAAGAGTAACGTGCAACAATTAGGTACAAATGGCTTCACTTTCTATGGTCTTCTTGATTGCTTTATAATTTATCTGTTTTGATTTTCATGACTGCATGGGAGTTTGCATTCTGTTTCTCAAATAGTGGACAAGTCTTGGAAAACAAGATTCTGTATTTCCTGAAGACAGTTGCTTCATGATAACGTGAAATACCCATTTCGTGTTTTTGAATTAATGTATCTGTTGTGGTATTTGCAGATTCTGTGAGAGGACGTGGCAATCAATCCTTGACTTTTGATAAAAATTATACACAAGTGGCTCAGAGACCTGGATTGTCCAATATTCAAACTACAGACCCACATCTGAAGACGAATGGCTTTATGCTTGGACGACAGGATTTTGGAGAAAGGCAGAATCAACTTCAGTTTTTGGGTGAGAGCACAGTTTTTTCTCCACATAATTTAACTTCGAGAGGCTTATCCATCCTTCAATCAGAGCAAGAAAATGCATCAGGTGATAGCCCCACCCTGACAACCAATTCAGAAAGGTCTGAAATTACTGAGGCTTCCACTGAGTTTAACTTTGTTGGAAAGCAGCAGCAACTTGTGAGGTGTCAACAGCAAGGCATTCCACAACTTCACTCAATGCAGCAGTCTGGGTACACTGACATGCAGTTGTTGCAGCAGCACGTGATGTTTAAGAACCTGCAAGAACTTCAGAGGCAGCAGCAACTGCAACAATTTGGTGATACAAGGCAACAGAATTCAGTAAATCAGCTCTCTGCAATGAATAAGCAGGCTGCTGGGGTTCAGTTTTCACCTCTCATCAATGGAACACCTGTTAATGATACATCACAAATGTTTATGAACTGGGTGCAGCGAGGTGGATCTCCTGCTGGGCAAAATGTATCTAATAGAGTCATTTTTTCTCAAGAGCAAGGTCAGACTTTGAGTTCAATGGGTCCAGCTCCTCAGCAGTTCGATGTCTCTTTATATGGTACTCCTGTTGCTAGTGGAAGAGGGACTATGAATCAGTATTCCCATCTTCAGGCAATGTCTCATGATTCTGAAAATTTGTTAATCAAGGCTAGCGATCAAACACAGAAGCCTGTTATGCAGTCATCAGGCTTCACTAACCCCTTTGTAGGTGAGCATTGCACTACTGCTTCTCCGGAGCAGGCTTACTTGCCTCAAGGGGCTTTCATTTCCAAACAAGGATTTCAGGGAAAGAATGTGCTTGGACAAGTTACTAATCAGGGTTTGAATTGTGGATCTACATTGGGCAACCTCCAGCAAGGGAATACGTTGCAAGCAAATACATCACTGCAGGAAATCAGTGGAAAGCAAGATCCAGCTGGTTGGCCTGGAACCTTTCAGAAAAAAACAATGCAGCATGGCTCTTCACCACAGGGTTTGGTTCCCCTAGATCCAATGGAAGAGAAGATTTTGTTTAACACAGAAGATAATTTTTGGGATGCTTCTATGGTAAAGCGCAGTGATATTGGTGCTGGAGGCTTTGGAAATGCACTTGAACAGACAGGATATTCAGATGCATTTCCTTCTCTCCAAAGTGGAAGCTGGAGCGCACTTATGCAGTCTGCTGTAGCAGAAGCTTCTAGTAGTGATACTGGGCCGCAGGAGGAGTGGAGTGGATTGACTTTTCAGAATACAGACTTGTCAACTGGTAATCAGTCTTCAAACATCTTGGACAGTGAGAAGCAACAAGGAAGTTGGGTTGATAACAACCTGCAGAGTGCCTCTTCCTTAAGTTCAAAACCTTTTCCCATGCTTAACGATTCCAGTGTTAATTCTAGCTTTCCTGGCTTTCCACAGCCAGGCATTCAATTCCCAACAGAGCATAGAGAAGGGCTTCACCAGGATGAATATCATGAATCCATTCAGAAGTCTCCCAAAAACACCAGTGAGTGGTTGGATCGCAACCCTCAACAAAAGCTATCTGTGGAGAGAAGTCAACAGGTACAACCACATTTGCGTTTGGACAACACATGGACCAGTCAAATAAATGAGCACTCAGAATGTGATCCACGTGAGCAGAGAATAGACTCCTATGGTATTGTTGGTCAACCAAGTGGTAAACCAGAAGGTATGATTGTCCATTTTCCATCCTCTAGTGGAAATGCTGCTATTTTCAGCTCCCATGACATTGTAGGTGATTTTTGGACAGGTGAGAGTGAAGCCATGTACAAGAGGAACTCTGATGGTTCTCTGTGGAAGAGGGACAGTGATTGCAGGGTAAATTCATTTTCCAGATCAACTGGACAATTGGAGCAAGTACAATCTGGCTCAGAGGATACTCTGAGGAACAGAGAAAATTCACATGTATTTAACTTTCATTCCTTGCAAAATTCACACATAACTAAGGTCCATCAGGAAACCAGTCACCAAGTCCAAGATAATAATAAGCTTGATTACATGAAACGTATCATATTTAGCAACAAAGAGGAGAATGAGGGCATCAGAGAAAAACAGCATCAACTGAGTAATAGCTCTCATGTTATTGGGAACTCTTATGGGAGGGAGGGCGAAACATATGAGCAACAGCAAAATTGCTACCAAAGCGACAACACTTATGACAGTAAGCGAGCTGATACATCTACTACCGTCTGCAGATCGGGGGATCCTAGTGGCATGCATGTCACTGCACGAACAAGGTAGTTTGCTTAGGAGATAATGATGGATTGGAAGTTTTTGATTCATGCCTTATCTTTCTTCTGCATACTAATGAGCATTTCACATTCTCTCTTCTGCCATCATAATTATTTACCTTATGCGCTCATATTGTTTAACACATTTGACTATAATCTGCATTCCAAACTATTTTTATGAGACATTCACTCCTCTCTTCTATTTTGTATGTTCTCGTGGAATCTTTTGATGGCTTAATCACAGCAGTCAAAATATGTTTCATCTTCTTAGCAAGGTTGACCAGTCGAAGGAGAACAGCTCTATAGCACAATTTGGGCCTTCTGGATTTAATCCATTATCCGAGGTAACTGAGGCAAAAACTCATGGAGCATCTGTTGCTCATATGTACAATCAGTCTTCTGCTTCTCAAGGTTTTGCTTTGAAATTGGCTCCTCCATCTCAGCGGCAGTCCAATTCAAACACTCTCTTCTCCTCTCAGGGTATGCTACAACCAGAAAGTAATCCAAATCAAATGCAAATGGATTCTGATTTAGGAGAGAAAAGCCAGAGCTGGTTACCTACTCCGTCATCCTCTCAATCTTTGCCCCAATCACATGAATCATCACCAAGAGCCCGTTGGGATGATAAATTTAGTATTGCGGGACAATCAAGCATCTCTTCATCTTATATGCATGGGAGCTCTATTGCAGAAATTACATCCAGTCCTACATTTCCAAGGAATCAGCTTCAAACACAACATCTGTTTAGTGTGCCTGGAGCAGGTCCATCTACACAGGCAACATTACCTGGTATTGCCAGCAGACATTCACCTTCCAACCTTGCTCTATCTCAAGGTACTTCTCAGCAGATTTTTATCAACCCTGGTGGTCAACAATTCCCTGTTCTTGAAGCTGTGCCAGCATCTCAGTCTCCTTATATGTCAGGCATGCCTGCACGGGGTGGAGCTTCAGTGAGGCCACAGGGTTTATGGACAAATAACCCAAGTCAGCAACATCTTTCTGGTATGGAAACTCAAAAGCTTTCTTTGATAAATCATGATAGCATGGATGCTACTCCGTTGGCTTCAGAGCTAAATAGTCTAAACACTCAAGAAGGTGGATATAGGTCATCGGAATTTGGTGCCTCTTCTATGAATTTACAAGGCTTCATTTCTTCAGAAGAGCAGCAAGGGAAAGA